ACTTGAGCGACTTTTTGTGCTTACGCGCAATGATGGCTGTGTCAGTATCAGGATGCTGACTATAGTCTCACTGCTGACTATAGCATCACTGCTGACGTCTCTGTCCCCCCGGCAAGACGGCCGTGCTTAGTTCCTGCCCAGGGGGGTCAGGGAGTACTAATCCCGAAGTCGCTACTACCCCAGAAGACTCCATAACTCGGATTCCTTTGTCAGGGATCAAACAAAAACGGTCGCACGTATCGTCTGTACTAACAGCTGCAGCTCATACCTGCGTGTCCATGCGTGGCTAAGAATCTCGAGCAACTCAGAAAAGATTTCCGGGTAAATCTACGCTCGCTATCCTGATAAAACCATTCGAGCAAAGCTCGGTAATGGGACGACAGCAGTGGCTATTGAAGCGATATCTGCCGAATCGGCTCCTTTGAAACGTGGTAGAGACTTGAGGGTGATGATTGGGAGAGTATTTCATGCGTGAATCCACGTTCTCTCTCGATAATGCGACAAGAATTCAACGGAGTTTGTTTTCCAAGAAGCCATCTTCAGCATCCTCGCCTTCATCAACGTCGTCCAGAATGCCTACTGGCTCGCGTGGGATTCGCCGAAGCTCCGGTACATTGCCCGCTACCTGCAGGAGGTGGGGGTACTTCGCCGCTCCCCGGACCAAGAGCCCGCCGCGCATCATCTTCTTCTGCCGCAGGCCCCTCACGCAGTGGGTCCTCATCATGTTTCCTGATGCATTAAGACATGTGTTAACTGCACACGATACCCAGAACCGCTCAGCAGCGGCCCATGATGAAACAGACGGCGATCATATTAAAGCAATGGGGTCAGGTACACTGACCTCCCCAAGGACATCAGTGGGACGACTTCAGCGTCTTGTCGTACTGCGCGTGGTGGCAGAGATCAAAAACGCTATGTGATCACCACGTCCGATTATCCTGACATTGAGGAAGCCCATATTTAACCTTCCTTTCTTATGAAGTCTGAATCTCTTCTGGCGAAACATTCCAGCGCATCAGATCCGTTCCTTCTCCCATGTTGTCAATCAAACCTGTCTATCGCAGGTGAGCGTTCCACGACGACATGTTCAAATGAGCCGTCAGCCGACGAAAGCCTCTCGCATTCTCCTCACCTTCGTCAGATGCCACGCCGATAGCAGCATCGTCTGCCTACCCATCTTCAACACTAGATGTTCTCAGCAGCCACTGATGCAGCCGATACTGTATCATCAAGCGAGAGACAGCGCGTCACTCACACCCCTGATTTTCAAATGCCTTCATCTGTTCTGGTCGGATGTTCGCAACCAGTTCCAGCCCTGCAACCGCGGAGAACAGTGGCAGACGTTCCTCACGTCGTACACCAATTCTCGATATGACAAAGAAAGGACAAGCTACGAAGAGGTTTCCCAGGTCCTTATACAGGAAGAAATGCGGATGAATTCAACTCCACGTCATCAAACTTGATCAAGGCGCCGAAGGGCAGAAATTCCGCTAAGCCCACGAACAATGGAACGGATTCCAACACCAAGGACGCCACGAAGGACTGTATCTCGTGGGTCATGAAGAATCTAGTACCTCTATGGAGTAAAGGGATCAAGAGGACTAGGTGACGGCGGCCTGCGGCCTTGCCTGAGGCTGCTCGCTCACCGTCCACCTCGCTGGCCTTAGCTATTTCGTCCGAGATAGCCTCACATAAGAGAATCCATCCATCTTCCACCTCTGGGATGCGTCATTACTAGGTAACGAGGTACGGAGGGTGTGAGGGTCGAGGAGAATAGCCCCACCTTTCACTTAACAATCAGCTATACGCGTTCCCTCCTTGAACATAACACCTATGTGTATGAGCTTTTTACTCTCAGGCCTTCCGACGTCGAATGCTCTATGACGGATCGATTATCCGAGGCTGCCGCCGAGTTCAGATGAAGTCCGGCTTTTTGAGGATCGTGAACCAGTATGGGAAACATCGGAAAGGGAGTCAATTGAACATCAACCCCCGACTTGGAAAGAAGTTGTGACACGAAGAAAGTCGTCGAAGTGATGACAGTTTGGCAAACGGATGCGGCCAAAGCACTAGAGGGCTTTAACTAGAATCTTGCCGTGACCTCAATTTTTACCTCTTACCAACGGTTGCAGAGTATCCAACTCTGGCTACCTCAGCGTGCTCTGACTTCTTCAATCACTTCCACCTCATACTCTCGGTTGTTTCCTCTCACCAGGAGTTACTGAAATGAATGCTTCATGGCGCTCATGCGGGACTCGCTCCTCCACCGGCAAAAGCGGTTCGGCATCAAGAACATTCTGCGGCCACGAAGAAGGCGATGGTGGTAAGTAGCTGTCCAGATTCGACAGGAATGCGCTAACAAGTCGCCAGAAGCATGCTGCCGAGTGTCGCGGGTTTATGGTCGAGCGCTGCGCCCTTGCTGCCCAGACGGGCGGAAACCATGAGTACCTCCATCCTCTGCCGGGTGATGCGGGCTATCTACTGTGGAAGCTCGCGGTGTCGACGTTCCTCATTGATGTCATCCAGGAGGTGATCCGGTGGCCTACTGATCCTGGAATCCTTCCCTGTGGAAGTTGTCCGTGGCCTGTGTTTTTCTGACCCTGACACTGGCAAGCTCCGCCAGTGGAATAAGTTCCCGGGGAAAGAGATACATGTTGACCACCACGAACTTCATTACATTCACTATATCCCGCGAATGCCAGATCATACGCCCATTCCAGACACCTCATCTGATGCTGTTTCCACGTCCTGGACTGCCCCTGTTCTTGTATACGGACCACACTGTACTGTGGTACGTCCGACAACTTTGGATGCACCATAGGCGGGAAGCGGAGCCAACTGCTCCTGCTTCTGGCCTTTTCGAGTCGAGAGGGAAATATGCCACCTCGCTTGGATATGCAATGTCATGTGATAATTAGCATTCCAGCAGACGGCAGACTCAGTGTGGACTAATTCGAGCAATATGCGGACAATAACAATCCTGGGCGCGGGCAACCAGCGCTACCTGGATGTTCTCAGCGTTCCTCGTAATTGGCTTCGTTTGTAATCAGAGGACAGAGTGCACATCAATGCCGATGCGCCTACTTATAATAGAGAGAGTACGGGAGTTGGGTGTAGGAGCTGCTGGGGAGTTTTCCCATGGGGGTTATAAAGGGCCTGTAGGGTCATTGATGTTTCGTTGTCGTTTGTCTGCTGCTTTAATACCCCCGCGCCCCGGCAATGCTGTCGAGGCTGCCCCCGTTGAATGAATCCCGAGCGAGATTTTCTTTTTGGCCTTCCTGTAGCTTTTGCAAATCGACGCAAACAAAGCTGTCGCACTTGAGCAGCCACTCACTCGGACGATCTTGACCCCTCGGACGGAGATGGGAGCTTTAGACACTATGCGGAAGAAGACTAATAACGACTATGCTGAGGCAGCATTCGAACTTTACACCGCTTGCCCACATCCCTCCCTTCGAATCCGCAATACTCGAACCTCCCCGCGCTCTTTCAGCCGGCACTATTCAATGGCTAAAGTGGTGCAACTGCTGGATGTAACTAAAAGTCCCCGAAACTTGATCCGACGGTATGGGGACGATGGTGACCAGAATGGTGGCGATCTTGTCGAAACATAAATGAGACCGAGAGACGGTCGGGGACCACCGCTTCGATAGCCCAGGCCCAGAAAGTCTAGTATGGAGCATTTCTTTGGAGGCCATTCTGACATGCTCTGCATTCCGTCTTCGTGCTGATTCCTGCCAGCAACGTCCCCAATGAGACTCATTTAGGGCCAGGTGGGGTTGAGGTTAAACCTCCGAGTTGGTATCATGCCACTAGCCTCCAATTACTCGGACAACAACTGTATGTATTTCGAATTAGATGAGCGATCTGTTCTAGAACGAGGGATATGTGACGTCGGAAGTATAGACCACACCCATTGTGGCTGAGCATCTAAACCTCCCGTGCAGCGTTAAATATGTATTCGTCATATCCAATCCCCATATTCTCAGATCAATCAACCAGCGTCGATATGTCCATAAGACTAATCCAAAAAGGCCACAATTTAGTCCAGACATTCCACCCACCCTCGCATCATAGTAAGCAAAGTATAAAGCAAGTAGCTTCCGGCCTCAAGCCGAACCATGGCGCCGGCGTGTTAGAGTTGACGTGAACCACAGCCTGATATCTTTTTGACAATCTATGTTGTAACAAAAGAGCTCTTTCCACAGCCATCCGATGTGGTGTAATGGCTAACATCGCTGTCTCTCACACAGCAGCTCGGGGTTCGATTCCCCGCATCGGAGTTACCTTTTTGGTTTTTGTGTGATGCTGCTGCTCGGCCCGCATCTTCAAATTATCTGCGCAGTTGCGGATGTTGATGAAGTCGGGTGCGCTTTGCCTATGTAGGCCTAGCTGTGATGTGCCAGCTGAGAGCTCTGGTAGTTGCCTGTTCCTACAGTGACACTCATTTGGAGCAAGCGGAGGCAATTTAGACATCAGCACTGGAGCAACTCATTTCAGACCCTCATGACAACCCTACTGTATGTGGATGTCAATGCACGAGTTACTACCCTCCAGAGACCAATGGAAGGCCGCGCAACCCAGCGTCCATCAAGACATAAAATGTATCATAAAGCGAATCCCAACTTATCAATCCGAAACGCCAGGAGCAACGCAACGCGACGCAACAGAACAGAACCACAAAAATACAGCAAGCAGAGTAGTACATCACACATAACCATGCCATGCGATTACCGGCATAGGCGCAAAACAACCTCATCCCACGGCCGGGCATACCATAAGCATCATCCATCCATGCATCATCGGCCCACCCTCAGCTCAGCTCATCTCAGCCCAGACCAGTCCCTCCATGCAACCGATCCACCCCCAAACACAAAAAAACAAACCACCCTCCTCTCCATCCCTTTCCCAGACCCAGACCACACCTCAAGCCCGCTTATTCCTCCCCTCCCCCTCTTCCACCTCCCCAAGCAAGCCCACCAACTCCCTCCCCCCCTCACTCTCCCTTCCCTCAATCTCCAGCCCCCGCTCCACAAACCGCCTTGCCTCCTCCCACCGGCCCATCTCAACCAAACACTTGCCCCCGCGCCACCACGCCTTCACATTGCCCACCGCCTTACTCTCGACACTGCACCGCGCATCCACCAGCCCCTCCACCCACAGCCGCTGGCTCATCCACGCCTGCGCCCGGTTCGCGTACAGGCCCGCCAGCTCGTCGCGCGCCAGCGTCACGGGCTCCCACCCGGGCCGGCCCAGCGCCATGTCGATCGCGTACCCGTACAGCCGGGCGGCGTCGGCGAAGTGGTTCTTGCGGTAGGCGGCGTTGGCACTGTCTCGGAGTTTGGTGATTTGGGCGCTGCGCTTGGGGTTGATGGGGAGGGGCGGGGGAGGGATTTGGTTGGGGGTTTCGAGGAGGGCGCGGTGGAGGGTGTTTAGGGTGGTGAGTTCGGATTGTAGGGTGGATGTGGAGGGATGGCTGAGGGTGATGGCTTTGGAGGTTGGGTCCAGGTGGAGGGGGAGGGGGTTGTAGATGTCTATGCTGGACATTTTGGTTGTTGTGGTGGTGGTGGGTTTGGTAAGTGTAGTGGATTGAAGGTGGTGGTTTTATGGATAGATGGATGTGGTTCGCGTGGAGTAGGTTGATTATGTGGTTTTATGTGTGTGTGTGTGTGTGTGATCGGGGTAATTCGTTTGATTCGTTGATGGACTTCGGATTCGTACAGTGGTAGTCAGTGTAGCTGCTGTAGCTGTAGCTGTAGCGTAGCTGATAATGGTCTGTGCGGAGAGGTTAGTGTTTGAGGTTTTAAGCTGGGAATTCAACTCGGACTCACGAGGCAGATTGGCAGACACCCCAGGATGAAAAAGGAAAAGAAAAAGAAAGAGTGCGCACCGGCGGGACGTCCAGAGATCAACACAGATAAACAAAAGATGAGCTGTCCTGATCGCTGATGGTGAGTGAGCCTTCCAAGAAAAGGCGGTGGCAGAATCCCTCCATTTGGCGAATCCTGCCGGATCAGATGTGTCATCCTATTCACTAACTAACTAAGTTACTGTAGTCAGTCAGGTGACAAGTATAAGCAACCAGTTCACTACCAATTCGACAGGCTTGCTCTGCTAAAGTATGTAATTCCATCTATGTAGAACCAAAATACATTCGTCATCCAATAAGTCGTCAGGTATGCCCGCGCGGCCATTACACCGGCCGTTCCCCCGCCAAATCACCATCACAGCATACAGTCGTCATCATGTTACAAGTCAACAAGCCAGAAATGACAATCGGAAATGTGCGCCCGCAAACACCGCCCCATGGTTCGTTTCGGAGGTTTGTCTTGGTTTTTTCTTTCACCGCATCTCCTCTCCGTCAACCCCTCTAGTGGCCGTAGCCGCTATGACTCGGCTCGTACTCCGACGGTCCGCCGTAGTGCTGCCCGTGCGCCCCGCCGTAGCTGGTGTTGTAGTCGTGCAGCACGCTGCCCGTCGAGACGGTCGGGTCGTAGGCGCCCGACGCCGCCGAGCGGCCGTGCGTGGTGCTGCCGAAGTCATCCGCCTCGCTCTGATGCAGCAGGGCGTAGTCCTCATCGCGATCGCCGCGAACCGACGACCCCATCCCCGCACGCGACCGGAAGTCGTCTTCCTCCTCCTCGAAATCGTGCGCTGGGTTGGACGAGAACGCGGCCTTGGTGTGGGCGGCAAAGGTGGGGTCGGAGACGGCGTCGGGCAGGGTGCCGGTGCGGCGGAAGTGCACGACGTTGCGGAAGGACATGAACGCGGTGACCACGAAGAGTAAGCTGGTAGAAAATCACAAGTTAGCCAACCACGTGAGAAAGCCACAGATAGGACAACTCACAAGACGATAACACCCAAGATCACGGTGGCCGTGCTGATCTTGCACTTGCTGGCGTTGCCGTAGGCCCAGTTGTCGCAGCCGCTCTTCGTGCTGTCGCTCGCCCGCTTGCTACTAGACTTGCTGTCGCTGTCTGTCGAGCTGTCGCTCTTGCCCTCGCTCTTCCCCTGCGCCACGTAGCTGGCGACACAGACCCAGGCACTGAACCATAAGATGGCGTACAGGCAGTCCACGGTCGCGAAGGCGTACACATTTCCAAACCGACGTGCGCGCGGCCACATGGGGACGGCCACTAAGTAGATGAGACCGGGGATACTGAACCAGCACTATCGAAAGCAACCATTAGACTCGAATCCTCGGCGACATTCTTGCACCTAAAACAAATGAATGGGCACTCACCAAGGCCCAGTACCAGGCGGATCTCCCATCAATGCCATCGCCCTTGGTGAACACGGCGATGGTCAAGGCCCACGCCAGGAAGATGATAAATCCCTGGAACCCATGGATGATGTTTTTCGTCCGCCCCGGGTTGAAGGAAGGTCGGGCGACTCTCATGTTTCTGGGGAGTGAGGTGGTCGATGACGGAGGAGTGGTGCCTGATGAGGATGAAAGGCGCTTTCCTCTACGCTAGGAAGCGAAACCGCGATACGATGGAGCTGACGGATTGATCGCAGATAGATCCAAAGATTCGGAGCCGCCAGAAACTGAATTCCGAGTAGATGAACAGGACGGGATAGGCAGAAATCGTCAGCGACAAGGGGGACGAGAGTACGGAACGCAATGCGATTGTTTATTGCAGTGGCAGCAGCAGCAGCAGCAGCAGCAGTCGAAAAACCGACGGCGAAGGTGAACGGGGCAACCCGATCGTGCCGCGCGGACGCTAAAGTAGAGGCGCAGGCAGGCAGAACGGTGGGAGGGGAAACCAGCGACGCAATCACCCGTGGGAATAATCTTCAACCGGCAACAAGAAATGAGGCACAAGAACAGCTCAGAAAAACTCACGAATTTCGGGGTATGAGGGAGGAACGATCAGGAGTGGAGTAGAAGAGAAGGAGACTTTGGATTGAAAGTGGGAGGGAGGGGTGAAAGCTCGTGAATGTGGCTGTCATAACAATAATAATACACTTCATTCATGGAATTCATTTCATTCAGCGGCGGTACCGTAAGGTTATCTTACCCTTCCGGAATTAGCCTGCCCGTGATCTCGGCCCAAAATAGAATTCCCAAAGCACATGGCCTGGTGAAATGCACAAGCAAAAGCAAGATCAAGGTTGCTTACAGTTGCGATGTTCGATGTCACTGAAGATGTTGTTACAGAATGGTGTCTTGCTCGTATCCATTCCCAATTTCAAATACTAGTTTTGTTGCCCAATCGGAGATCCTGCACCAAGGCTGACGTATCCTCATTTTTGACCAACACAGCCCCAGTTTAAGTGATGATGGCCACTTGTTCAGCGATAATTAAGGGTAGACCGGTATTAACGATCATGAAGATCAAGCACTGCAATGATTATTGTGTAAGTGGGTAAGCGGACCTTCGGCAGCTGGCTGTGCCTCTGCACACATATGATGTGTCAACATGTCAGGTTGCTCGCCGACAATCAAGTCTGCCCGTCGCTCATCATACCGGTAATTCCCAGCCGAGGGTCCGATTTTATGCTCTACCATGCTGACAGAGTAGTGAGCCTGGCTTGGGAGCTTTACAGCCGAGCAAAGGTGATTCATGATTGTAAATCTATGGCCCAGTTATCAAGATGTTATCCTTCTGCTCTGTATATTGACCCTAGTCGCTAGCCGTTTCATGTTAGCGCCAAGTAGCTTGTTCTCATGGAAACAGGGGTTGCTATTCATGGAGACACGGCCACCACGCATCCACGCTTGGCCGACTCCGCCGTCGAAGATCAATCTACAATCTTTATTGTTTCAAGCACCCGCGATACCAGGCTTGAATCAGAATGTCTCAACTTAAATTGGTCCATTACCTCGGTCGTCTCGAAAGTGGCCGATCTGCAAATAGCTAATATACTCAAAAGACGCCACTTGATGCTCCCTATACAACAGCATCGTCTCATGTGCTGTGATCCGTCATAACTTCCTTCGCTAATTTGGAAAAGGGGAAAGGCGAGGAGTACACAAAAGGCAGAGTAAGTGGATGAAAATACACAGGAAAATGATCTGGAAACAAAGGAGAGTCGTCAAATCGCCAGGAGGCGAGCACATCATGTCGACTTGCCATTGGTCGCATTCATGATCATTTCAATCTCTTTCAGGGGCTGGTAGATATGCGTATGCCACCACCACGGCAATGGGTCAATGGCGGAGAACCGCCAATTCTTCCAGAACAGAAGCAGTCTGCTGCCTTCGTGCAGACTGCGATCGATCTGCTCGATGGCAGGGTAAAGTGCCGGAAGCACCCTCCGAACATCGCAACTGCGGACCACCTGGCAGAGACTGAAATTCTCAGGAGGCGGGGTAGAGATTTCCGTGTCGATGGATGCGATGTCTATAGCGGGCACTTCGCCAGAAACGCCGTTCATGTGTGGCGCGAGCACATTGAGGTACTCCGCGACCAGTGAATCGTGCTTATCTTCCAGAAGGAACTTCACAGCCGCGGCGCCTTGCTCGCAGCCCTCGATATGAATCGCATAGCGGAGAATATTGTCGGTAAATTCCTCGTCCACCGTCAGTTGGAGGCGTAGGTGACCGGTCAGTCGGGGTCCACTTTGGAGTGCAAAGCGTTCCATGAGCGCATGCGTCGCCCTCGCGAGTCCCTTGTCCAGACGCGAGTGTCCCCAATCGGACTCGTTGTCGCCAGGATAAATCTTGATCGCCTTGACATGACCACAGATGACCATGACCTCTGCAACAAACCGGCCCAGTCGCGTCTGTTGTTGTAGTATCCATGGCCGTTCCTTAGAGATCTGGATTTCACTAACCTCGGAATAGGTCAGACTGAGAGTTCGCTTCGGCAGCACGACGACCTTGTCGTCCTCGGGAGTGGGGGAGGGCCTCCGCATCTGATAAATCTTGGACGGCGACCGATGCAAAATCTTGTGGATGGCATCTCGCGACAGAACCTGGTGTTTTTCCACCACGGGGAGCCGCTTCTCAATGAGATACTGGTGGAAAGTGTCTTGGTTGCCGAAGATTTCGGCCAGGCCGGTGTCCAGGGTGATGCATTTGCAATGGGTCCGGCTCTCGATCACCTGTTTGGCCGACGCATCGTCGAGGGCCGAGGCCTCGTTCGCGCACGGGATCCAGATCTCCACTTTCTCTTTCTGGATGATATCGAGCAGCCGTGCGCTGTACTTGGTCTTGGGAACGTGGTAGAAGGCCGCCAGCGTCTTGGACATGCCTTCGCCAGGGGCGATGGCGCCCTCGGTGGTGTTGGCCCCGACCACCCGGTGGCCCGCGTAGTACCAACCCCGGGCCACCGCTAGCCCATGAGGGGTATTGACCCCAGTAACGAGGACTGTTTTCGGACGGAAGTGCTCATCTCTTAGGATTTTCTGTCGTCGGCGTTCGTGGCTGGAGGATTGTGAAATGTCGCCGGGGACATACCCGGCAGCGTAGGAGGCCAAAAGAATGGTGTTGTCCAACGGCAGGAGGGCGATCGAGACCGCAATCCGCACCAGATGGAAAATTACATGGATCTGCAGCATGTCGCGGGCGAATTGAAGAGTGCTTTCTTGAGGAATCGAGCTAAATGCTCGTCGTACTGTATGTATAGCCATCATAATGTCAGATGATAATTTGCAGTGGACATTGTTGCACAGAATCAATGCCGGACAATGATTATTTATTGTCTCATGGCAGGAGGGGGGTGCGGGCAGCATAACCAGCAGCTTCGGAATGCTGCTGCAAGGCGACCACGTCAGCGATGCAGCTCAGTGGGTGATGCGTACCTGAAGATGAAATCAACTGCTACGTTGTTTGAGTTGGGTGAGGTGGCTGGGCCGACAAGGAGAAAGAGCATCGTCGATTGCGACCACACGTCGAACTGAAAGACATATAAGACCTCCCACAAGATTATAACCGTATGATTTTCGTCGGCAAACCGGATGATGACCCCTCATTCTGACGATGGCCGAGGGGCTGGACTTCAGCTTTGCTTTCGACAAGGATTGGCGGCTATCGCACGAATCATGATCCTTCGGCGTGTTGCCCAGGCTGAAGGGCAGCGTATAGCAGAATGATGTTTTGTAAGTACCAGGCTGGCGGATATTGGCAGACGAATTCGAGGCGACAGTCAAGGATCGCATAGATTCAGAGGAGAAGATAGACATGCGACAAGGCGTGGAGGTGAAATGTAACTGCCTTCAATTGAGACAACCATGCAGGCTGAAGCACCAGTCCGTGCAAAGTATATGCGGCGGGAAGCAGAGTGAGGCCACCCTGCCTCATAAGCTGAGATATGGCCACCTGCAGCCGAATTCAAGGCAAAGGAATGTGCATGACCCATTCCTCAAGTCATTCGTAAAGTCTAGAACCTTTATCTTCTCACGCATAGTGAGGTCTTTGTGCTAGTGCCAGTGGTGATATTCGATCGCTAGTTCGTCTCGGTTATCCGATCACTTCAGGGTGGAGCAAGGCAATCAACACTAGAAGCACTAGGGTGTAGGTGGCTGCTACTCAAGGCACAGTACAAAAACTAACTTACAGTACAGCCTGACACAGCACCACTGCAGCTCTGACACTCCGTACTAGGAGCTTCCAAGGCAAGCACTCACCGCTTTCGCCTTGTCTATTATTTATCCTACCCCGACGGCAGGTGTCAATGGGTTACTTGCGCTTCTGGGGGAAAAGCACAACCAAGTCAAATAAATCAGACAACACTGATCCCTCTCGTGTTGAACAATTTCTGACTATCAGTGAGCACTGAGTCACAACGAGGAAATGCATTTCCGACCTGCTTATCAATCTCTGATGATGAACCATCCTCACGCTGCCTCGGATTTTCCGGGATTCGAGAGCCATGAGGGGCACCGATGGAGTAAGCATCTCCGGGTGAGCGGCACTGGGGACGGCATTATAGTGGGGGCCTTTCGCCCCTAGTGATGAGTCGCCCATGTTGTCATATCCTTTTTAAAAGGCTCATTCTTGAGGTTTACGTGGTCCTTATCGTCTCCCGAGCTTTCAGCTGGCTGTGACGTTGTCGGATTTATCTTCTGCCATACAAAATGTCGAGTATAAGACCGAGGATAAGGCCGAGCCTAATCCCGAATGCGATAAGGCGCGGGGGTTCTCGTGCCATTAAATTCGCTGAATACCCTCGCTTTGGATCTCCAAGCTTGCAGCCCAATCTTGCTACTATCGCAAAATATCCATTGATTAGATTTCTGTCAACCTCGCGACATCCATCACTGACCATGAGCGACAACACCTACGTAGCGCCGCTTCATCCTCGTCCCGGGGACCGATCAGTAAGTCCGCTGTCCAAGGCTCTGAGGCCCTTTGAGATGTGGTGTGAACTGACACCGAGCTTCATTGTAGCGCGAGGATGGTCGGGAGTTCAAGTTGCTGCACTTCATCTACGATCAGCCCAATCGAGACGAGATCCAGGGCAACCCTCAGAAAGTCCTAGATCTTATCGACGAGTTCGCGCAGACATATCACTTCATGAACATCGGTCCGGACAAGGGCAAGTTTATCACAGAAATCATCGCCGAGCGCAAGCCCGAGGTCATGATTGAGCTCGGTGGCTATGTCGGGTACTCTGCCATCCTATTCGGCGATGCCGTGCGCCGGGCTGGTGGAAAGCGATACTATAGTCTCGAACTGAACCCAGAGTATGCCGCTATTGCGAACACGCTACTTGATCTTGCTGGTCTGCGCGACTTTGTGCGCATCATAGTCGGTCGCAGTGATCTGTCCCTGCACAAGCTATTCGATAGCGGGGAGGTCAAGCAGGTGGAGGTTCTGTTCATTGACCACTATAAGCCTGCCTACACCACCGACTTGAAGCTTTGCGAGCAGCTGGGGAAGATCGTGCCCGAGGTCTCGGTCGTGATCGCGGACAACGTGCTGTACCCCGGCAACCCGCCATATTTGGAATATGTCCGCAGTACGGTGGAGCAGAAGCGCGAAGCGGCCAAGAAGGGCCCTGAACGGACATACAACAAAGAGGGCATTCCGGACAGGACCGTGCAGTCCTTCCTCGGCGCAGATGCGACTCCTCAATTCGACATAATCGGCAACCCGGACCTCATCTACGAGAGCAAACTCGTGAAGCCGGAAACCACCAGGGTAAGTCGGGAGTCTGTGACACATTGAAACGGGAGATAAGTTTTCTGACGCGAATTGTGTGCTTTAGGACGCCATTGAGGTCACCCGATGTGTGGGGGTACAAGAGTAGTAGAAGGGAGGGGTGTTTTTCGGGGAATCTGTGTCTAGGTTGGGGAAGGAAGGAAAGAGGCTACTAAGCTGGATGGTCACGAGCCTTATAGATCTTGGTACAAGGGTCTTTGGACCTACCATTACTCGACCTTTTCATTAATGAGGCCGAAGTCTAAAGTCACGGTCGGCCGCTGATCTTTTTCTCTTAGCTAGTTCATTTAATACCAAACGAAGGCTTTCTTGTGAATAGTTCGAGGATAGTACAGTACAACTCCGGAGATCCGAAGTTTTTCCACTGTCGGTTCAAGACCTTTTCCGTTTACTGTAGGTTCCGGCGGAGTCTACTAGGTAGCTTACATAGCCCACCATTAGGGCCTAAAGTTGTTGCATATCGCGGCATAGCAAACAGAACCACAGACATACCAACAAGGCTGCCTTTCTTCCCCTGGAGCTTCTTCCGATCATTGCGGATGACCTACAGGCGATCGACGGCTCTTTGATACCATGTATCGCTGTCTGCCGTCGGTTGCGAACGGCGTTTGGACCGTCACTCTATCAGAACCTGGTCGTGACCAGCGCCGCTGCGAATCTCCCAGAGGAATTATGGAATAGACCCCGAATCTCGAAGTCTACCTTACAGCAAATCATCACTGGGTTCGGGCTTGCTCAATGGTCCTGGATCCGTACGATTCGATATATCAAATCATTGTCCTGGTGGGGTTACCCGACTGGCACTCATGCAAAAGGCGAGGCTATAGCCTCGAGAATCCTGCTCGGTATGAAAACGACCGGGCCTTCCAGTCCGGTATCCTTGCTCTCTTTGAGACATTGGCCGACTGGGACGCTGGGCTTCGGCTCCATGTCGAGTTGACGGTCTGCGGACGTGTTAAGGGCCTCCAACCGAATACCTCCGACTACGAGCATGCGGGCAGATTCTGGTTTGATTTTCAGAATGGGCGAACCGAAGCTGTGCCTGTCTGTCTACCGGGCATCCTTTTTGGGGGAGGATGAAATGTCGAGAAGAACACTCCCAGCTCTACGCTGCATTGACCGCCTCGCCTTCCCTGAGCATCCGAACTATCATCAGATTGGGGTCAGGGCCGCCATGCAAATCGCACAGCACTGTCCTACTCTGTCCGCCCTGTCGTTAGGATTGGACGAGTATATCCGCCCGACCATCTGGAATACATTCAGGCAGGTCGCCATGGTAAGACTCGCCGCCGCCACCACCCCTCGTGTAGTGCAGGGCTGGGGAAGAGCGGGCCTACTATTCTGGGGAGGTATTCTCGTCTTCAACGATTGTAGTCAATGCTCCTGCAAGGGCAGGAATCGCTTCCAACACGATTCGCCTTGCCTAAGCACCGCGCATACAGTTCTGGCGTGCGAAGACTCTGCAGACGGAGATAAGTCTAGAGTCGTCACCGACGCCGGCTACAGTGTAGTGTCCGGGTCACCGTGCTTGGGGATAAAAATCACGCGATCACGAACACTCGGTTAACTCCACCCTCTAGAGATCTTTACGAAGGCTTCAAGATCGGATAACGACCGGCCAAACGTAGCAAGGATGATACTTAGTAGGAAGGGCTCTGCAAGCCAGAGATGCTTGTTGCAGCTTGCAATACATCAGCCTTGAGGAAGAAGTCCTTTTGTCCAACTCACAAATATTGAATACCAATACCCCGGAAATGTACCGTAATAGTTCATCATGGGATGAGCCATATTTGATTGCCGCGCGCATGCTGGGGGCGCCCAGACTTATGGAAGGGGAAAGGCCTTCGTGCCATAATAGAATAGTTTTTCTTCATACCAGTACCGTGGGGACAGGATATCGAATCGAAGGAAGATGATGGAATACTCTATGGATTAGGTGTGTTCACTAGTTGATCTGACAGGGCAACTGTAGCAGGCGATTAGAAAGAGCTAGTTCTGTTCAAGAATAGTGCATCAATCAACCAAGTGCAGGGTGAAAAGACCCGGCCGTGTAAAGTGTGAAGTCCTACAGGCAGGTGAGACACGGTCCGGACTGAGCCGATGGTGTCATCATCGGCAACAGCACTGAAATGAATTCCGAGTGTCTTGCTGCTGCTGCAGCATCGGCCTTTGCCGCATTGCCCCGCCCGGCCCAGTGGTTGCCGTCGCCAGGACCTTCCCCCGCACTAGTTGATGACTGAGTCCAATTTCTTCCCTTCCCCCCACGCTGGAGATTGTGTAATCACTGTTCAAAACTTCAAAGGCATAGTCGAAGTGGGCCTTGTTTACATCGTATATAACTGAGCAATACCCCCCCTCGGAAATCTATTATATCTAACCTCCTCAATTGTCCCCCTCATTTCTCTGCCCCTCGTCTCCCACAAAACCATCTCCCCCACAATAACCACCCCCCACCATGTCTTCGAAAACCTGGAACGTCGGAATTGTGGGATACGGGCTGAGCGCCAAAGTCTTCCACATTCCTTTCATCAAGGAAGTCCCTCAATTCAAGATCTCAGCCATTGTGCAGCGCAACCCCAAGCCGGAGGACGATGCGGAGAAGGACTTCCCCGGCATCAAGTCTTACCGCAGCACCGAAGAGCTAGTCAAGGATGAGGGTGTCGACCTGGTTGTCATCACTACCGTTCCCGAAACGCATTTCGAGTTGACCAAGCTGGCCCTCGAGCACGGAAAGCACGGTAGGTCTTTTTTTTGCAGGTGCATAAAAAACTGTACTGATGCTAATTGTTGCTGCAGTCGTCGTCGAGAAGCCTTTTACCCCCACTTCGAAGGAAGCTCAAGAGCTCGTTGCCCTGGCCAAGAAGCAGAACAAGCACCTGGCCGTATACCAGAGTCTGTATTCCTAAATCGACTCCTACCTATAATTTGAATTTTTTGAGGTTTGGTTTTGCTGATGGGTGTGTGATTAGACCGTCGCTACGACGCCGATTTCCAGACTGTGTCCAAGTTGGTCAAGAGCGGCTCCCTGGGCCGCGTCGTTGAATTCGAGACTCACTTCGATCGCCACCGCCCCGAAGAGCCTTCTGCAGATGCTTCGAAGTGGAAGAACAAGGTTGTTCCCGGAGGTAGCGCCATCTACGACCTGGGATCTCACCTCCTGGATCAGGCTGTCCACCTGCTCGGCAAACCTGAGCGCGTGACGGGCTTCCTCGGCTCCCAGCGCGAGGTGAACTCCTCCGGTTACGAGGACTCCTTCACCGTCCTGCTTCACTACAAGAACGGTCCCCTGGTCACGGCCAAGGCTGCTGTTGTCAGTCCCGAAGTCGAGCAGTTGCGCTTCTGGGTCCGTGGAGACAAGGGTAGCTACAGGAAGGTCCGTCCCCTCCAATCCGAATCCGCGACATATGGGGAGCTGCGTTTTGCTGACTTCAGACGATTAGTTCCATCTCGATATCCAGGAGGAGCACATCAAGGCCGGATTGAGCGCCGGTGACAACGGATACGGCCGCGAGCCCAGTGACAGATATGGTACGTCGATGATGCACACTGACTTACCTTTCAAACACCGTTCTAACATATGTCCGCAATCAGGCACTCTCACCACTATTCAGGACGGAAAGCCTACCAGAGAGGTCTTCCCTACCGTCGAGCCCCCGACCTGGACCGAGTACTATAGAAAGTTGGCGCGAGCTCTTGCCGGCGAGTCCGATCTCCCGGCCAGTGGAGCGGAAGCCAGCGAGGTTATCCGCTTGATCGAGTTGGCCCAGGAGAGCTCCAAGCTTGGCAAGACGCTGGACTTCTAAGTGGTGGGTAGTGCGTTTGTGTATATGAGTACTTAGAGATTATGATATAATGACAGGATGAGAATTGAATTTCACATATGATGCTCAGCACTCGCAAGTACTGTACATGCACCCTAAATAGCGTGAGTATGGAAGAGTAGCTCACTAGTGGCGGGGTGTAAACAGAGCGCGTTACACTATCCAAGGCACGAACCCCCTCCTACGGTTCCACTACGGTAGTCTAGACCCTTGTCAGCATGATGGCTGTATTGAGCGTGTCATGAGGAATTTCTTCGATCTTGTTCCTCTACCCCGGATTGATCGACAGCCCTGCTTTTGCGGGAAGGGCGGCGGATGGGCAATACGGGCGACTTGGCTGGATGATGGGGAAAATACGGTAAGTAATGGTAAAGAATGGTAATATGTGGTAAGAAACCCACCGGCTGACCTCATCTCCCACCGTCCCCGACGCTAAACCCTACCCGGAGTTTCCATTACCCAACTCAAATGCTGTGAGTGGAAGGACAGACCAGGAACCTTGAACTTCCAAACTCCATTTAGTTCAGTTACTTGGGTCAGTTCCAGTTGGCACTGCAATTCCGCCTCCATGACTGCTCTTGCTACCATAGCCGAACACCTCTACTCCGCGGAGATGCTGATGGTCAGCCCAAAAAGCGTGCGAAAGATCTTCTTGTTCTTGCGTGTTCTCCCTTCTCCCGATCTCTTACAGCTCTGATGCCTACTATTAATATGGGCTCAGGACTCCGTCCACAGACCCAGCGACTGTAAATTGCGGTGTCCACTTGATGCACGGCGGTTTCAATGGGCTCGCCCGCTTATACTTAGTTGCTGCTCACCACGTAGGCCAGGCAAGTACTCCCACCTCTCCCCCCTTGTACCCCCTGACCTGGACCCATCAGGCCTGCTTTTTAGCAGAATGGAGTATCTGCCTGTCTGTCATCTTTTATTCTGTGTCAGTGGGCAAGTTGCTCTCCATCTGCAGTCTCATGACTGAGCTGGCATACACAAGCATCCGCTTGTCCGGGTTCCTTCTTCAGGTTCATATCCACTTGCAACACTCCTTTTCATAACAACACTTGTTGTACTGGACCTGGTACTAACCGAACACAGGAATAAGCGCGTTTGTCTTGGCTAAGGATGGTCATCATGACAGTCCAGCAGACGTTTGCCCAGCCCTCCCGGCCTCCGTCCAAGCTTGAACACATCGACTTCTCCCGCCTCCATGTGGATATCGATGCCTATATCAATCCCTTTCTTCCGCCCCCGCCTTGGCGATACCTGCCTCGGCCGGTCTCGCGCTTCTTTGGTTACCGAGAGCCCCCGTCTCCCAAGCCTCTCGGCAATGTGGTTGTGGCGTTCTGGACCTTGATAGGGGTCTTCTGCGGGGTGCTGATCGTAGCGGAGGCTTCGATGCATGTGCCCCTTTTCGAGCACCATAATGCCCCGATCATCGTGGCGAGTTTCGTACGTCTTTCCCCTCAGGTCTACACCAGTGACCGAAGCTTCAAGACTAACCGTCCCTTAGGGTGCTGCTGCGGTGCTAGAGTTCTCGGCCATCGAATCGCCCTTTGCCCAGCCACGAAATGCGGTCATCAGCCAGGTCATTGCGAGCACGGTGGGGATTGGGATCTCCAAGCTTTTCGCCCTGAATGCCCATGCCGAATCGTTGCCCCAGATCGGTGGCGCCCTGGCTTGTGCCATCACCACGTGTATCATGGTCCTCACGAATACCGTGCACCCGCCCGCGGGAGCAACCGCGTTGCTTTCAGTGACGCAGTCGGCCGATGTGGGCTGGGCGCTGATTCCCGTCATGCTCCTCGGAAGCGTGCTGATGCAGGCCGTGGCGTTGTTGATCAACAACATCCAGCGCCGGTTCCCGATTTACTGGTGGACTCCGGTCTCTCTGGCGCGCCCGAAATCGAGTGACACCGAAAGCGGGGATCGGATCAACCGAGCCAGCTTTGAGACGGACGGCACGCAAGATGTCTTCCCCGGTGAACCGAGGCAGGTCCTCATTGAGTCGGGCAAGATCCTGTTGCCAAATCAATTCTCGATTTCGGAAGCGGAGATGAAGGTCTTGCGGAGTATCAGTGAACGGTTGCCATGAAGTGCATCCCCTCGCATTAGAAATAGGTGGCTTAGCACAGAGACATTCCGCTGTCTGTATATACTGTATATAGTGAAGTTCATATATTTGTCTAAGTACTGAGTTGGAAGTAAGCGGCTTAACGTGATTGAGGATCTGTCCAACAGGAATGCTCTGATTACCCAGCTGACTGCAAGAGGATATTCATGGTTGCATGGAATGTGGTTGCGAACATAGGATGTCATTTAAACGGAGGTGTGATTCTGCTGGACTTGCTTGGATGATAAGGAGTATGGCGTCCACGGTTGCGGTGCCGGATGCTCTTCCTTTCCTATCAAGGTAGCATGCTCACTGGTCAGATTTCGGCCTCAGGCGTCAGCAGCGGTTGCTGACCATTGCCAGCAAATGCCTTGGGCATAAGGCTCTGTGGCACGTGATCGTTAATGCCCAATCAGGCAAGGCCGCGCCACGCACCCGTGCGGTGACGTCGACAAGCCAATGACAGCGCCGCTGGGCAGAAACCCACTGAAGGAATTTTCGAGGCAACTCAAATTGAGGTCGCAGTTTCGTCTTTCATCCTCTGCTGCATCCTTCATCCTCCTCTTCTTGTTCTTCGGTCGATTGTTCCTACTTTTGACTCAGGGGATAGGCTCTTTAATCTCGTATATACTACCCATTTGATCTCTATTACTCTGTGTTTTCTGTGTCTGGAGGCAATCGTAATAAGCATTTGCCTGTGCTTCATAGTTGAAACTCTTACTATCGATAAGGGCTATCCAAGGAACCTCCCACTCCCACCCCCCCCACTCAAAAGGCTTTCGGTCGCCCCTCTCTTACTATTTTCTCTCCCTCCCTCTCTCTCTTCCTCTCTCTTTCACCCCGCCGCTGGAAAGTGCTCCACCTTTGTCAAGTTCTTTTTTTCCCTTTTCCTCCTCCTCTTCACGGACTGGTTTCGTCTCTTTCTTCCCGCCTCCTCTTACCTTGTTCCCCTCTTTTTCTCTTCCCCCATCTCTCCTCCCATAACACCCACACAACCGTCAAAATGGTGTCTGCTTCTAAAGCTGCTCGTATGGCCAAGCGTGGCGATGACGGCAAGAAGAAGACCCTCAAGTCGAAGAAGGGTACCTCGACCCCCGGTGACGAGACCCCCATGCTCGATGGCGACGGAAACCCTTTGCCCGTCGAGGATCAGCCTGCCACCTCCGCTGAGAAGCTGAAGGAGGTTGAGAAGCTGACCGCACAGATGGACAAGCACGGTCTCTCTGACCGTGTTACCACTGGTGTCCTCTCCTCCCTGGAGTCCTCCCGCGACGTCAAGATCACTTCCGCCTCCCTGGTGTTCCACGGCAAGGTCCTCATCACCGACTCCACCCTCGAACTGAACTTCAGTCGCCGTTACGGTCTCTTGGGTGAGAACGGTTGCGGAAAGTCCACCCTTCTCAAGTCCATCGCCACTCGCGAGTTCCCTATCCCCGAGCACATTGATATCTACCTGCTCAACGAGGGTGCTCCCCCCACCGACCTCGGTGCCCTTGAGTGGGTTGTTACTGAGGCTCAGAACCAGCTCGACCGCATGGAGAAGCAGGCCGAGGAGATCTTGGAGAAAGAGGGCCCTGACAGCCCTATTCTCGAGGACCTTTACGACGTAAGTACCCTTGCATTCTTTGACAAGCAACATGTGTCTAACTTCATCATCAGCGTATGGACAAGATGGATCCCTCGACCTTCCACACCCGTGCCTCCTTGATCCTGACGGGTCTTGGTTTCAACAAGCAGACCATCCACAAGAAGACCAAGGACATGTCCGGTGGTTGGCGTATGCGTGTGGCCCTTGCCAAGGCCCTCTTCGTCAAGCCTTCTCTCCTTTTGCTGGACGACCCCACTGCTCACTTGGATCTCGAGGCCTGTGTGTGGTTGGAAGAATACCTGAAGAAGTGGGAGCGCACCCTGATCCTGGTCTCCCACTCCATGGATTTCTTGAACGGTGTCTGCACCAACATGATCGATATGCGCATGAAGCAGCTCCTCTACTATGGTGGTAACTACGATTCGTACCACAAGACCCGTGCCGAACAGGAGACGAACCAGATGAAGGCCTACCACAAGCAGCAGGAAGAAATTGCCCACATCAAGAAGTTCATCGCCTCCGCCGGTACCTACGCCAACTTGGTCCGTCAGGCCAAGTCCCGTCAGAAGATTCTCGACAAGATGGAGGCCGACGGTTTCATCCAGCCCGTCATCCCTGACCGTGTCTTCAGCTTCCGCTTCGCTGATGTCGAGAAGCTCCCCCCTCCCGTCCTGTCATTCGATGATGTCTCTTTCTCCTACTCTGGCAACTGGGATGACACTCTGTACGAGCACCTTGACTTCGGTGTCGACATGGACTCCCGTACTGCTCTGGTCGGACCCAACGGTGTCGGCAAGTCCACTCTGCTCCGTCTGATGACCGGCAAGCTCAGCCCCATCGGTGGTAGCGTCAGCCGTCACACCCACTTGAAGCTCGGCATGTACAGCCAGCACTCCGCTGAACAGCTGGACCTGACCAAGTCTTCCTTGGAGTTCGTCCGTGACAAGTTCCCCGAGAAGTCCCAGGACTACCAGTACTGGCGCCAGCAGCTCGGCCGCTACGGTCTGAGCGGTGAGTCCCAGACTGCTCTGATGGGCACTCTGTCTGAGGGTCAGAAGAGTCGTATCGTTTTCGCTCTGTTGGCTATTGAGTCGCCCAACATGATTCTCCTGGACGAGCCTACCAACGGTCTCGATATCCCCACCATCGACAGTTTGGCCGATGCCATCAACGCCTACAGCGGAGGTGTCGTGGTCGTCTCCCACGATTTCCGTCTCCTCGACAAGATCGCCAAGGACATCATGGTCTGCGAGCACAAGACCGTCACCCGCTGGGATGGCACCATCGGACAGTACAAGAACTACCTCCGCAAGAAGATGATCGACCAGGGTGCTGTTTAAAAAGCTTGAAGCATTTTTCTTATTATGAGGTGCTTCTCTCTGTTACGAATGGAATGCTCAGAAACGAACAAAATATCAAGACAGGAAAGAAAAACAGTCTGCGCGAAGATGCAGACTCAGCAAAACTTTACCGAAAGGAGTAGGAGAGAAAAGTTTATCAATTTTCTCAGCAGCACAGGAGAGATGAACCATCCTGAATGAGAGGTCCTTGTTTTAAGGGGGATACATTTGTGTTTATCCCGTTTTGCTTGAATACCACCTGGAGATATCACCTGCTCAGTATTTGGGTGTTCTTTGTTTTTTCTTTTACGTTGTGTTTCTTAGATGGCCTTGTTTATTTCCATCATCGTCGTTCATACCATTTCAATCTCATCCCCCTAACTTAGACTTGAGCGTTTGAGGGGGTGAAATCTGATGCTTCTCTTTTCTCATTGGATTCTCGTATATGGTATAGACTGTTCATCATCCTTTGGGACACGGGTGTCTCCTTGAGAATGGATTGTTTTATTTGAACTCTGGATTGTAGTTGCACCTGTAGATTTGGTTTACAGATTCATGTCTTGTAGATGAATGCTTATCTTGGGAGTGTAGTATACTAATTCATCGGATATGTTCCCGTAGCCTACCTATTCAAACCATTCATTGTTGTGTGTAGACTTTTTGGTTCCTCCGTCAATTCTATATTCCGCTCCCCGCCACATCCTAATCCTCTACAACTAACCCCGAGTTACCGCTCCTTCGTCCTCTGCATAACCAACTCGCCCCCGAAAATATTCTTACTACCGCTGGAAGATTCCGCGGCAGTCTCCAACTTCCGCTTCTTCGCCAACCTCTCCATCTCACTTTCCGACGCCCCGGAATCGACCCCGCCTGTTGGAGTGGCAACCGCAGCCGCAGCCGAGGAAGCGATCGCCGCAGCAGGGATCCTCTTCTGCCCAGCCCCAAGATTCACCTTCTCGGGATTCTGGCAGTGATACAGCTTCTTCCCGATGATCCGACGGAGGGTCTTCATCTGATCCGGATCCGACGCGAGGGGCTTGTAGGCCTGCAGCATGGCGGCGCAGTCGTTGAGCGTGCGGAGGAGTTTTGGTCGGAGGGTCGCCAGCATATTCGCCTCTGCTTCCTGGGATGACGGGGGGCCGAGTTTCGTGTCGAGGTAATACTCCGTCAACGGCCGGTCCGCCAGCATCAGCGCGGCGAGCCAGATCTGCGCCGGCGTGAAGAGGAAATACACGTCGGTGATCTGGGCGGCGGATTTGAGGATCTCGCGGGTGGCGTGGTGGGCGCGGGCGATTCGGTCGGTGATGTTTTTCGAAGAGGAGGAGGAGGAGGAGGAGGAGGAAGGGGGCAGGGCGAGGAGGCCTCTTTGCAAGGATTCCGGTGTCTGCGTCTGGGTGGCGGCAAGGTGCGGCGCGGGCTGGCCCTGCCCCGCGGCCAGGGCCTGGAGTTCCATGATCCCGCCCTCCAGCCCCCGGAACGGGTGCCGCACGTCGAAGGTGAAGCGCAGGCTCTGCATCACCACGAACTCCGGGGCGATGATGTCTTCGGCGGTTGTGTCGCCGGGGACCCCGTCGGCGAAGTGGCGGAGCGACATGTAGTAGTTGTCCGTCTTGGTGGCCAGGAAGAGCACGCACGGCATGATTTGTTTCGGGTGGTAGGTCATCGGGCTGTTCGTTAGGTAGAAGCGCCGGAGGTATTGGATTGCTGTTGCCTTTTCAAAGGTGTTAGTTCTTGCGGTTTGGGGGGAATGGGGGATGGGGGAGGGGGTTTGACTGGCTGGTTGACTCACTCGAACTATCGTCGGTAATGGCGGTTTGTACGCTTCGCCTAGTTGGATGATCTGTTCGCAGTAGTAGCTCACGGTCTGCTGCTCTTCCTCCGGCGTGAGGCATTCGATGGGTTTCTCTTCGGCTTTCGCGGGGTGGTTGGTGCTGGTGCTACCCTCAACTTCAGGGACCGGGGTGCCTGTCGCGGACGAGGTGGCGGAGCGGCGCGCCTCCTGCGCACGGCGGATGGCGGCGCGCACCCGGTCGCTGGCCACGGCGTTGGTGGTCGCCCGTTGGGCTTGGAGGGAGGCCGCGGTGAAGGACCAGAGACGGTATTGCGAGGAGGTGCGGTAGAAGTCGTCTTCGATCATTTTGGGTTGCGTTGATGGCGGCTTGTCGAGCCGTGAGGTGGGTGTCTATTGCGCAGTCGTGTTGTGGGGTGGGAGGGTTGGCTTTGTGGTTGGATGGTGCGGTGAGTGAAGGGTCAGGTCAATGGTGAGGTGGGCGCTTTTTTGTAAAGTTGGTGATGGTGAAGGGATTTGCGGCGGAGAAAGTTGGAGATGGGCGATGGAGATGGGCGGAGACGGAGAAGATCCACGTGCTTATCGATAGCGCTGCGCTTCCAGCAACCCTTTGTCCACGGAGTTACGCACGTTTACATACAATGGCAAACAATCAAAAGTCTTTAACCCACTTTCTTGCCGATGCATATGTCTTATTGGCTTGATTACTCAAAACATCAGATGCTAATTAACGCAAATGGATGAATAACTGGATATATGAAAAGAGCTCAAACGAGAAATTAAAGCGCTCGATCGAACAGCAAACCTCAAAGCTCGACACTTGATCCCGAGAAAAAGAAAAGCTAAAGCTCTCTGTGAATGTGGTCTGTCTAGGTTTTTATTACGGCTCACCCAGCAGTCGTGCAGTGACGTCCCCCATGTATGCCTCCTCTAGCTCATAATCCTCGCCCTCCATCCGATCGATGCCATAGTATTTGAACGCCGCTACCACGCGGTCGACGTCGAAACCCATGCTACAGAAGCGGTCGATCAGGTCTTTGTTATAGCCATCATACCTGTCCGGAAACGGTTAGCGAAAATATATGCGCAGGTTTCAAGCGGGTGGTCCATACTTGGCGAGATCCTCCTTCTCCTGCTCCGCCTTGGTCTTGAGCTCCAGCTCGCGCAGGGTCTCATCCGTCGCGCCGCCACTGCCCTCTCCCGCGTGTTTCCTCGGCGCCCCCGCATATATGACCGCCCACTCCTGGGCCTTCCGGGCGAACTCCTTGGGGTGGCGCAACAGCATCTGCGCGACCTCCGCGTCCTGCGGGTCCTTCGGTTCTGGCGTGCTCAGTAGTGACTGCAGTGAGAGAAGAGCGGATTTGATGGTGAGGACGGGCGACCAGGCGGTGGATAGGGTATCCAGGCAAATCGCGCCCTATAACAGGGAGATGAGGCATGAGCAAGTCTCGTCACGAGCATTGGAAAGGGGAAACTCCAGCACTCACCGTTTGACTGCTGACATTCGGGTGCCAGACCTTGGTTTGGAACTTCATCACAGGGGGTCGGAACGGGTAGTCGGTGGGGATCTTGATGTCCACTGCATATGTACCACCTTCGTACGGAGTCCCCGGCGGACCTGGGAAGGTCCCGCGGAGGTGTGTGATATCGTCGTCGTTCCCTACCGGCTCCGCGGTGATTTGCGAGTGCGTGTCCGCATGTATGTCGGCAATCTCCTTGGCGATACGACGTGCTCGATTTGAAGCCATAATTTTGAGAGTGATACAAGGTAGTTGCGAAGGAGCAAGCAGTAAAGGTGCTTTAGCTTTGGTGTGAAAGGCCAACGAGGATCCTTTCCTGGGAAACAATACGAAGCGCAAGCTATATAAGTAAAAGTCAGGTTATGTCAGCCTGAGAGCAGTATAGGTAAAGTAATGACGATTATACAGAAAAGTCCTAGCCAAGCTGGCACGAAGCGGAGGTATAAAAAGGAAAAAGGAAAAAGCAAAAATGGACGCTGATGGAGGAAAGATCGAGCAGTGCAGCCTCAATTAATCTGGCGGGGAACTGGCGAGGAAAATGAGGGGATCGCAAGTATTGGTGGGGCGTAAGCGCTCGCCGACGATAAAGCTCGCAAGCTGGTTGGAAACACACCTCCTGATGGCGCACTGCAAATCGATTTGGGGAAGCTCTTCCCAATATAGTGACGGTGCTAGTCTATTCTTGTTTAAGTGGAAGTCAAGAAATCTGATATGTCGACCGCGTTGCTGTTTCTAAAAGGAAGCCGAGGGAAGAGGAGAATGGATGATCATGGATCATGGATCCATGATGATCAAACGAATTGCCAGATTCGTACTGGTGGCCTGGTGGCCTGGCAAGGCAGCCTATACTGGCCAGAGCTTGTGGCCTTAGCCCCCAGGCTCACAATTTAAGTCACGTGAGGCGGTGATGCGTTGTTGGCCGCAGCGCCGCCAAGGCCGGCACGGATGGCGACGACAGCTTCCCAGCTGCTGCTCATCTCATCACAGCTTCACGCCTCCCATCCTCCACCCATCATCCACCGAGCTTGCGCCCCATCCCCCAGTACCTCTACGTCGAATTTTGTTCGCCTCTAGTCTGGCCGTCATATTTCATACATAATACTCCCCCTGTGTCTTTAATCCTCTAGGACTATGGTACGCTGTCAACCCTTGCTGTCGCCCACAGCTCTTGACGCCTACTTGATGTCACCTATCTAATACTTTCTGATAAATAGGGTAACCAGCAGTCCAACATTGGCGGAGGTCCCGGTGGGGATGGAAGAGATGACAAGGACAAGAAGGTATGTTTGTCCTTTCGCTCATAGTCAAGATATGTCGGCTTACCAAGATACTCGTCCACAGAAGGATAAGCCCAGATACGAACCGCCTCCCCCCCCTACCACTCGCCTCGGTCGCAAGAAGCGCAAGGCCGCCGGTCCCAGCACGGCTTCCAAGCTCCCTGACATCTTCCCGACGTCACGATGTAAACTACGATACCTCCGCATGCAGCGGGTTCACGATCACCTGCTGCTAGAAGAAGAATACGTCGAGAACATGGAGCGTCTGCGCAAGACCAAGGCCCAGGCTGCATTGGACACCGCCAACCGAAGCGACCTCGAGCTCGCGGACAGAAACGCAGATGAGAGAAGCCGGGTTGATGATATGAGAGGCAGTCCCATGGGCGTCGGCAACCTAGAAGAGCTGATCGACGACGATCACGCGATCGTCTCCAGCGCTACTGGCCCCGAGTACTACGTCTCGATCATGTCGTTCGTTGACAAGGACCTGCTTGAGCCGGGTGCCAGTATCCTTCTACACCACAAGTCGGTCTCCGTGGTTGGTGTGTTGACTGAGGAGTCCGATCCTCTCGTCTCCGTGATGAAGCTCGACAAGGCACCAACAGAGTCTTACGCAGACATTGGTGGTCTTGAGACCCAGATTCAGGAGGTCCGCGAATCCGTCGAACTTCCGCTGCTCCACCCGGAGTTGTACGAGGAGATGGGTATCAAACCGCCTAAAGGTGTTATCCTGTACGGTGCCCCCGGTACCGGAAAGACCCTGCTGGCCAAGGCTGTCGCCAACCAGACCAGTGCCACTTTTCTTCGAATCGTTGGCAGTGAGCTTATTCAGAAGTATCTTGGAGATGGTCCTCGCTTGGTTCGACAGATCTTCCAGGTTGCGGCCGAACATGCCCCATCCATTGTGTTTATTGATGAAATCGATGCTATTGGTACGAAGCGTTACGACTCCACATCCGGCGGTGAGCGAGAAATCCAGCGTACCATGCTGGAGTTGCTTAACCAACTGGACGGTTTCGACGACCGCGGTGATGTCAAGGTGATCATGGCCACCAACAAGATCGAGACCCTGGATCCCGCTCTGATCCGTCCGGGACGTATTGATCGAAAGATTCTCTTCGAGAACCCCGACCGTGAGTGCCCCCCTATCTTGCCAGCCGAGCTCGAGTACTAATTGTATTCTAGAAAACACCAAGAAGAAGATTTTCACCCTGCACACTTCCAAGATGTCGCTGGGAGATGACGTCGACTTGGATGAGTTCATCAACCAGAAGGATGATCTTTCTGGTGCTGATATTCGGGCCATTTGTACTGAGGCCGGTCTCATGGCTCTGAGAGAACGCCGGATGAGAGTGCAGATGGACGACTTCCGCGCCGCCAGGGAGCGCATCATGAAGACCAAGCAGGACGGTGGCCCTGTTGAGGGCTTGTACTTGTAGACGTGCAATGTTGATGGTGTATGTAGATCTATATTAGCCTGACAAGTGATCTTTGGTCCACAAGTTCCTTCATGAGCTCTTGAGCTATATTACGTAGTCCATGCCCTTCGAGAAATAGTGACTTATGTCAAGTAAGATGCATATATGTTTTACAGTGATCTTCTGCTTGAACGTTTTCAGACATGCTGAGGTAAAGTCATCTCCACCAAGCGTCACGTCATGTCTTCTAACTAGTCTATGGACTGGTGGTTATCAGTGAGACCCGACCTTATCATCACGTGGGCTCACGGCAAACAGAACAAACCATACAAACTTGCCAAAAGAGCTGGAACATCCTCTGAATGTCGTCTGAAGTCATCGCTTCTTATCCTGCGACACATTCTCCCAACTAGCCAAAATGGAAGGATTCGACGAGGAAGCCTTCAAAAAGTTCTTTCCAACTAGCTTTGGCCGGCAGGAGAAGAAAACCGATGTGAGCACTCAGATCGATCGCACCAAGCGCACCGAGGTAGCTGCGAAAGTCGACAGCGGTGACGAGAAGACGCGAGCGAACACCGAGGTCACTCCTGAAGAGCCAACCATTCCTGAACCGGCGGGCCGCGAGGTGAGGCCTGACAGTAACAATGGAAGCGACGATTCCGACTCCGACGACTCCGACTCAGAAGACGACGAGGATGAGTTTCCGGTCTCCCACGAGATGCTACTCAAGACCCATGACCGGGCAGTGACTACATTGACCGTTGACCCGGCGGGTTCGCGGTTGATCACCGGGTCCACGGACTGCACGATCAAGTTGCACGATTTTGCCTCGATGACGCCGTCGACTATACGCGCCTTCAAGTCCGTCGATCCGTCGGCGAAGAAGCAGTCCGCCGCCCAAGAAGCACACTCCGTACACTACGTCGCATTCAACCCACTGGCCCCAACCTATGTGATGGTTGTCTCCGCTACAGCGCAGCCGAGGATTCTGAATCGCGATGGTGACACGGTTACTGAATTTGTCAAGGGTGACATGTATCTAAGGGACCTACACAATACCAAGGGCCATATTTCGGAGGTCACCAGCGGAGCATGGAGCCCGACCGATGAGAATCTATGCGTGACGGCTGGAACGGACAGCACAGTGCGCATCTGGGATGCTAATGTAGGAAGGACACAAAAGGAAGTGATTGTGCACAAGTCCAAGATGGCTGGATCCGCTGGTCGGAGCAAAATGACAGCCGTCGCGTGGGGCTCGCCCAAACAAGGAGGCCCTAATGTTCTGATCGGTGCCGCCCTTGATGGGAGCTTGATGATGTGGGGTGGTGATGGGCCATTTACCCGTCCAAGTGGTGAGGTTCGGGATGCTCATACCAAGGACACCTGGACGAGCGGCGTCGACATCAGCTCCGATGGCAGGCTGGTCGTCACAAAAGGCGGCGATGACACCATCAAGCTCTGGGACACCAGAAAATTCAAGAAACCGATCACGACTGTATCCCATCCGTCTAGTACCCGCTTCTCGACTTCGAACATCATCTTCTCACCCTCCTCGGCGAATGTGCTTACTGGCTCTGAAACTGGCCACCTGCATATCTTGAACCCTGCTACGCTGAGGCCAGAACTAGTAACGCCGATCACCCCTGGATCCCCGGTCATCACTGTCCTATGGCACGAGAAGATGAACCAGATCCTTACCGGTTCCGCCAATGCCGAGACGCATGTTCTCTACAACCCGAATATGTCGACAAGGGGCGCGGCCTTGGTTATGTCCAAGGCGCCGAAGCGCCGCCACATCGATGATGACCCTAGTCTCACCATGGATCTCAGCCAGGGTCTCTCGGGAGACTCTGTTGTAGTGGGATCGAACGGTGTTCCTCACTACAGCTCGTCTACTTGGTCTGCCCGCCACCCGACCATTGGGTTGACGGCTTCAGGACGTCCCAAGGATCCTCGCAGACCGTACATGCCGGCTGCGACTCCGTTTGCCAAGTCGCAACCGGACGAGAAGCATATCCGAGATAACATCCCTCTCAGTTCGATGCGCGACGAAGACCCTCGGGAGGCCCTGCTGAAATATGCGGACAAGGCTGAAAAGGATCCAATTTTCACCAAGGCGTGGAAGGAAACACAACCCACGCCTATCTATCGGGAGCTCAGCGATGATGAAGAACAGAAGCCGGAGAAGAAGCGGGCAAAGAGGTAATCAGCACGGCAGGCTCTAATTGTCGGTCTTTTGTAGCGATTGCAATTTCTTCGAAATAATTTGAAACGTTTGTATATATCCCATACGACAGATGGCGTTCGGAGGGTGCAACGGGAAATTCATCAAAAGCGAGCAATCATTCTATTTTAAGCCCTGTAAAGATGATGATCGGGGATCTGTCAATCCGGAGTCACGGAGAGTTTGTTGTCGAGGATGAACTAGTTCCATGCTTGGTGACGTTGGACCGACAGGGAGGAAGCGGAGAAGGAAAATGGCGCCTCATTCCTCGGATCGCGGTGCGAATCAAGGCGAATTGTGACCTGAAGTAGAAGTATAATGATGCCTGCTGTGCTTGGACACAGGTCTGATGTCTTTTGAGATCTTCTTAGTAGCTTTGCTAGCACCTGCACGTGTGACTGCTCATGTCTTGTCTTATCCTATCCTGTCTGGGTTTAAGGGGAGGATAGATTATTTAATTTAGACCAGCGCGACTCCTGCTCGGTTCGCTCGGCTTCTTTCCATCCACTCTTCCTTCCAACCAAACCAACCCAACCCAGACCAACTCCTCCTCCCCGATCGCTCGCTCGATCGACATTTTACTTTCATCATTCCAATACTGGACTTTTCGTTTCTTTTGAATCTCTTGATTTCTCTGCAGCGTCTAAGTCGTCCAACAGGCGACTTCGCTTGACCGACGACGAAGATTAGGGGACCCGAACACAGCATGCGGTGGTTCTCAGGAGCATGAACGACGGCTCAGGAAATCAATCACCAGTAAGATTTTGGTGAAAGTGACTAGAATTCCTGGCCTGGCGTTACCAAGCTATTGAATCTCCATTCTAAGACTAGTACACAGCAGAAGGCTTTTGTGAGTTTTGTGAGTCTGCACATCTTAGGATTTGGCGATCCTCGGCGAAGCAAGCAAGTCAATCGGGACCTCCGCTTTGTCTTATCTCCCCTCAAACTCTCTTCTTCGACATTCCCGCTCACCCTTTCCGGCTCCCTTACGCCGCGACTCATCGCATATGGATCATATGCGGGAGGCGCCCCTGGCAGCAGGTCTGCTCACCACACTCCTGTCCTCCGCCATTCCAACGCCCACAGCTCTAGCCCAACATTTACCTTCTTCATCCCCACTTCTACCTTCTCCGACTGCGAACCCCGTGTACGATGGCGGCAACGGTGATGGGGAATCGGGTGGCATGCACGAATGGTCGTCTTTGATTGGAATTGTGACTGCGCTGGTTGGCAACGTGCTCATTTCGCTGGCGCTCAACATCCAACGCTACGCGCACATCCGGATCGATCGGGAATGGGAACAGGAGAAGCTACAAAAAGAGATAGACTGGAAACGCGCCCAGCAAGGCCATGACCACGATCTGGGTGATGGTGAATCCGGTCGAGGCCGCAGCCGTGCTGCTCTCCAAGGACGTTACCGTGACGAATCCCCTGACTTTGTACCTGAGGACGCGCCGAACCGTTCCGAGCGGAGCCAGCGATATCGCGACGACGACGAGGATGACGGCGTGCATGATTACATGGGGGATTCAATGCAGTCCGACAATACTGTCCGGCCGGAGAACGAGGGCGACCGCCGGAGTGGCCGCAAATCCTACCTGCGCTCACCGTACTGGTGGGTCGGAATCGTGCTCATGTCTGTAGGCGAGGTGGGAAACTTCATGGCCTATGGGTTTGCGCCCGCGTCTATCGTGTCTCCGTTGGGTGTGGTTGCGCTGATCTCGAACTGCGTCATTGCGCCTTTCATGCTGAAGGAGAAATTCCGGCAACGCGATGCTTGGGGTGTTCTCATCGCCATCGCGGGCGCCGTGGTGGTTGTGATTAGTGCCCCGTCCTCGGAGGAGAAGATCGGGCCTCACGATATCTGGGTGATGATAACGCGCTGGGAGTTTGAGCTCTATTTGGGTCTCACGGCTGCGTTGATTGTCGGGCTGATGTGGGCTAGTCGTAAGTATGGGCCGAAGACAATCTTGATCGACGTGGGGCTGGTTGCATTGTACGGTATGTTCAGTATTGTTGGTTGTGATACTGTTCTTATACATGATTGCTGATGTTGTCTATGTAGGTGGATATACTGCTTTGTCGACCAAAGGTGTCTCTTCTCTATTGACATTCACCTTTTGGCATGTTATCACGTTCCGGGTCACTTATCTCCTCGTTTTCATCCTCATCTTCAGCGCAATAATGCAGATTCGATACATCAACCGAGCGCTGCAGCGTTTTGATTCGACTCAGGTGATCCCGACTCAGTTTGTTCTTTTCACTCTTTCAGTCATTATCGGCAGCGCCATTCTTTATCGCGACTTCGAAGCTTTCACGGTGAAGCGCGCCAGCAAATTTGTGGGCGGTTGTCTTTTGACCTTCTTGGGAGTGTACTTCATCACTAGTGGAAGAGTCCGTAGCGACACGGAGTCCTCTTTCTCGGCTGATGACGAGGAAGAGGCTATCGGGCTGCTGGCGGGGGAGCGCTATCACGATCATGTCGATCTGTCACCAAATTTAGCCCCGCAAGGCAAAGTACATCAGCCCGGACGAACTGTGCACAATTTTCAGGATGGCAGTCTGGAATCTCCGTCCGGGTCACTTATCAGTCATGGCCTTGAGGATGTGGATGATAATCTGCCCACTTCTCGGGGAGCGTTGTCTGCTGCGCCATCTTCCCCGACGGGTTCTCTTATTGCGGAATCAGAATCACGTCGCTTGGATGAGCCCACATCTCCTGTACACCCCAGTTCACTTCTAAGAAACCCGTGGGCTGAGTCCCGAGGATCAACGTCGGCTTCAAGCCATCGCCCATCCACCCCTCCTGGACACTCGGGATCAACCACACATGAGTCGCCATTCCTGCTTCGCTTCCCTCCTGCTCCTGGCGCGGAAGATGGCGAACCGCAAGGCACGCCCACTGAAGGAAATCAGCAGAATGTCCGAAACGTTGTTGTCCCGCAGACCCCACCGGCACGGAGACTGCGCAATTCCATATCTAACTTCTCGCCTGGCCCTTTCCTCCCCGCGATCTCATCTGGGTTCAGCGCGGTGGTTGCTGAGTCGCTTCGTCGTGGTGAGATCAGCCCCAACAAGGGTCGGAAGATTGGACGACGGATAGGCCGGAAGAAGCAGCTGAGTACGACAGTGTTGGATGGATACACTCGGACCAGAAATGGCGAGACACTCGAGCCCATCCGTGATTCGGATGGAAGTGCTGGAGTGGGTCTAAACCCCCGGTTTCCATTGTCAGACACCCGGCTTCATTCTACGGGTGAGCTATCTACAGCTCCTGTGACTGCCGGTGCTGCCACTCCTGGGCTCGAATCGGAAGTTGGTACTGGAACGCCCAAACCACAGGATATTGCCTCGCTCTCGCGACTTCGAAGCCTGAGTGATTCGTGGAGCGGAGGACTGGCCTGGCTCGGCGGCGTTCTCCACAAACCCGGTGCGAGGAGAGGGTCCGCTAACCCACCTCTGTCGGAAGACCAAGGAGTTGACGGCAGTGCCGGGGCACCGAGCAGCCAAACCCAGCGGGGGTCCGAGTCTGACACGCAGGTGTAGTAGGCTGAGAGTTTCTCAGGTGGCTGAGTCACACCACTTGTTAGTACATACTTTTGTTTTCGAGTAATATATGGGCGGAAGATAATTTCAGATAGCATCAGCATTCCCTCTGCACTTTATAGGGGTTTTAATAGACTTTAGCGTTATGGTTCATCAGTCGAGATGGAGGGCGAGGGAAGGGTTTATTTCTGCATGACACTGGATGCAGTGAAAATGGAAGAAACTTGCCTCTGCCTACATGTACAGGATAACTCATACGACCAACCTCGAGTATTATCAGTGTAATTGAAATCATTGAATTGAAGGACTAGTAGGGAAACAGTGCAGGGAAGCTGCAGCAGAGGGAGACTCTCGATAGGCGGAATGACTGGGTAAGACCCTGGCAAATTCCCCGGCTTTAATCTATCCTGTCAACAACCCCTCATCTCCTCTCCTCATCTCTTCAATCCCTTCTCTCCCTCACCCCACTCGACAATTTAGCCGTGAACATCACCATGGGAAATTTGACTTCTCCATCGTCAATTTATTCTGGCTCGTCGGGCCGGACCATTCATGAATCAGGAATGCCTGTGCTCCATTGTGTCTGCGGAATTGATTCGTCTTCGCATTCTCGCCTCCACAGTCCTGGTCTAGGCTAGTGATGCATTGCAGCTGGCTCTCATCTCCGAACCGATTGTCTGAGCAGCCTAAACTAGTTCATCTCTGCGGCCGTGTGGGATTTCCAGTGACGTTTGCTCTGGTTTCCCGGTTCTGTCGGGCCTCCGCTTCAATTGATTTCTTAAGCCCCGACTGCGCGATGGAGGAGGTTAAATACCACCACCCTTGCTCCTCGCTACTGGTCCGAGGGCGATTTCCAGAATTGGCGAATTCCTCTTTTCTCTTCCTCCTCTCTTACCAGCACAGTGAAGAACAGATTGGGAGCCGGCCTTTTAATCCAGCCAGCCTCCTTCGCTCGGTCTCACCAAGATGGGTGCTAGTTTGCTAACCAAGGGGCTTGCCCTCCTCCACCTCTGCGTCGGGTTAACGGCCGCAAGCAATGGCTCAACACCACTCTACAAGGACCCGCATGCTTCGGTGGATGATCGCGTCACTGATCTTCTGGGTCGCATGACGATCCATGATAAAACGGCGCAATTGCTGCAAGGTACGGGCTATCCCTCGGTGGTCTGCGTCATGTCCTCGGATAATCTGAGTGTCAAGTGGTATAGGTGATCTCTCGAACTGGATGAACACCACGACTGGAGCGTTCAACTACTCAGGCCTCGTTGCGAACATGGAGCTGAAGGCTGGAGGATTCTACGGTAGGGGGCTTCTTGCTGTGCGGAGGATTCCGCGGTGAACCCACGGGCTGACCGGTGTTTAGTTGGGTATGCGGTCCCGTGGGACTGGATGGTGACGAACATCAAGCATGCGCAGGATTACCTGGTTCACAACACGACGCTTGGGATTCCGGCGCTTGTTCAGACGGAAGGTAAGGCTTCATGCGATCGTCTCTCGTAGGGAAGATGCTAACAGTGGCAGGTATTCATGGATTCTTGGTTCAGAACGCTACCATCTTCAACTCGCCTATTGCATATGGTTGCTCTTTCAACCGTGAGGTTAGTGTGGTGCATCGAGAACACCCCGACGGCTACAGTCTAACCTATTGGTAATAGTTGGTCTACAAAATGGCCAAAATCATCAGTCAAGAAACTCTTACTCTTGGTGTCAATCAACTGTTTGCTCCCGTAGTGGATCTGGCTCGTGAGCTGCGCTATGGCCGGGTAGGTCCACGTTATTGGTATTTTTTCCAACTCACAGGCTGATGTTGTCATGCAGGTCGAAGAGACGTTCTCCGAGGACCCGTACCTTGCTGGCGAGATTGGCTACAATTACGTGAAAGGCCTGCAGAGTCTCAATGTTTCGGCCACCGTCAAGCATTTTGCCGGCTTCAGTGCACCCGAGCAGGGGCTGAACACGGCGCCGGTCCAGGGAGGCGAAAGATACCTTCGTACCACGTGAGTATGCCCGTCTGTCGGGTTAGACAATGCTGACGGCGTAAAAGCTGGCTACACTCCTTCAAGCGGGCAATCATTGATGCAGGCGCATGGAGTGTTATGAGCGCCTACCACTCGTGAGTGTTGTTTCTCTCCCTGATTTAGGGCATCGACTTACTGGTACTTAGCTATGACGGCATCCCGGCTGTGGCCGATTATCTCACCTTGACGAAGATTCTAAGAGGTGAATGGGGCTTCAAACACTGGGTCTTTAGCGACGCTGGTGCTACCGATCGACTCTGCACGGCTTTCAAGCTTTGCCAGGCTTCGCCGATTGACATGGAATCGGTCACTCTGCAGGCACTCCCTGCTGGCAATGACGTTGAGATGGGTGGTGGTTCTTTGTAAGTGGCCTGGTTTCTGTGACATGCTAGTATACTGATCCCGTACAGCAACTTCCAGAAGATCCCCGAGCTCGTAGAGTCTGGAAAGCTGGACATCGAAACCGTCAACACCGCTGTCTCGCGTATTCTCCGCGCCAAGTTCGAGATGGGTCTCTTCGAGAATCCCTTCCCTGCTGCTCCCGAGTCGCAGTGGCACAAGCTGATTCACAGCTCCGAGGCGGTCGAGCTTGCCAGAACCTTGGACAAGGAGTCTATCGTCCTATTGGAGAACCATAACAAGACTCTTCCCTTGAAGAAGAGCGGCAGCATTGCGGTCATTGGACCCATGGCCCACGGCTTCATGAACGTGAGTGGCCCAGCTTACATCAGAAAAGACATTGACTAATTTCATAAAGTACGGAGACTACGTCATCTACAAGAGCCAGTACCGCGGCGTGACCCCTCTGGACGGCATCAAGGCCGCTGTCGGCGACAAGGCCACGGTCAACTACGCTCAAGGCTGCGAGCGCTGGAGCAACGACCAGTCCGGCTTCGATGAGGCCATCGCGGCCGCCAAGAAGTCCGACGTCGCTGTCGTCGTCGTGGGTACCTGGTCTCGCGACCAGACCGAGCTGTGGTCCGGGTTCAACGCGACGTAAGTTCGGCCGTTGCACATCCGTCACAAATGATCCCAGCCACTAACTGCTTTAAAAAGCACCGGTGAACACATCGACCTCGACAACCTCGCCCTTGTCGGCGCCCAAGGCCCGCTCGTCAAGGCCATTCTCGACACTGGCGTCCCCACGATCGTGGTTCTCTCCAGCGGGAAGCCCATCACCGACGTGACCTGGCTCGCCAACTCGACTTCGGCGCTCGTGCAGCAATTCTATCCCTCCGAGCAAGGCGGCAACGCGCTGGCCGACGTGCTGTTCGGCGACTACAACCCCTCTGGCAAGCTGTCCGTCAGCTTCCCGCGCTTCGTCGGCGACCTGCCCATCTACTACGACTTCCTCAACTCGGCGCGCAACATCGGGCCCGCCGGCCACGCCTACCCCAACGGCACGCTGGACTTCGAGTCCCAGTACGTCCTGGGCGACCCCACCGCCATCTACGAGTTCGGGTACGGCAAGAGCTACGTCGACTTTGCGTATGGGACGGTCCAGCTGAGTAAGACCAACGTCACCGCGTCGGACACGGTGACGGTCAGCGTGGACGTGACCAACACCGACGCCGCCCGCGACGGCACCGAGGTCGTGCAGGTGTACGTCTCGGACGTGATCGCGTCGGTGGTCGTGCCAAACCGCGCGCTGAAGGGCTTTGAGAAGGTGCTCATCCCCGCGGGCAAGACCACGACGGTGGAGATCGATCTGAAGGTGGAGGATCTGGGCCTGTGGAACCGGTCGATGCAGTACGTCGTGGAGCCGGGGGCGTTCACGGTGCTGGTCGGGAGCAGCTCGTCGGATATCCGGGGGAATGCGACGTTCTATGTTGAGTAGGGGTAGGGAAGTGGGTGGACCTCGTGGTATGTGATTTGTGATGCTATAGTCTAGCTGCATTGGCTGATATAGTTCATGTTGAGCAAGCTATGAAGAGTGAGATTTACTTGATCATCTCAAATAGCTATCTCTATGTGCAGTCAGAGACAAATGCTTCAGACCTCCAGTTGCATCATACTTCCACCTCAATAGCTTGGGATCAGGCGTATCCATGAACCACCGTGCGAAGCCCCCCGTATCTGCTTCTCCTGAGGGTGGTGTAACGTGAACAAAATCCTCCCTCTTGCGCCGAGATAGTGATTTCTCCGAGTCGTAAAGCTCAGTCTGAGTCCGCCTCGGGGCCCTTGGAAATCGACTGCCCCACTATTCCCGGGCTGCAATGGCCCAGTATCGCACTGTAGGAGGTACCTCGAGGACAAAGCCCAATAGCGCTAGCCGTGATTCAATCCAATCCTCAATCCTCTAGACACTTCCCCTTACAGTAGCCCTGAGGTGGCCAACTGATGCAATATACCCCTGAAGCCTGGTAGGTGACAACCTCGCTAACTCGCTCTCTAGCTCGATTTCCAATACAGGTGCTCAACCAAGACCCTGCTATACTGAAGACCAACCAACTCAGTAGAGATGGAAGAATGGCCCGATGGCGGGATACTGCCTGTATTTGGTAAGCACTGCACTCAATAAGGATGGATCAAGATAGTTTAGCGTACCTCTCGGGCTTCACGGCCATGACCCTCTGAGTACTATCCATCTGTCTGGACCGGGTGTAGGGGAGGTGGAACGGGAGACAGATGCCTGCTGTCAAGGAGGTGCGGATGATTAGTTTGGAGAGCATTGGGGGGGTTTTGTTGGTGGGTGTTGGTAGTCGACCATTGAGGCTTATGTATGTGTGTATGTATGCTTTCTTGGGGAAGGAGTGTGTCTTTTGCCCGGGTTGGGTAAATATGTATGTATTCATTTTCATATGCTACTTACTGAGACCTCGGCTCGGCCCCACCTCCACGGCCCCGATTGGACCCGAGGGGGTTTATGCCTCGGGCCCAGTCAGCGAGCGAGGAATTGCCGTGACAGTTTATCCTGTTTATCCTGTTTACGCCGGGGCAAATCGACGATCCCCCAGACCCCCAGACAGCCCAGTGCATACCCCGCATTCTTGACCCATGCATACTCTACACAGTAGGTAGTCTACACACAAACTATCATATCAACGACTCCACCAAGCCATGCCACACCCTGCATATCTCCCACGCGTCTCAAGTGTGTAGCATCTGCCACCATGGATAAACCTCCCCCCTCCAAGAGGCCTCGACTGTCCATGGCCTGCAACATCTGTCGACAGCGCAAGGTCAAGTGTGATGCCGAATACCCCAAATGTCGCAACTGTCGCGTCCGGAATCAGGTCTGCGTGACGA